CCTTTGTTTGTCAAGGATAGTCGCGGTCTTTTGACACAGTGTGGCCGAGTGTGGGTATCGGTAACTGGAGGAGTGAAACAGAAGATATTAGAGGAGGCACAAAGGTCCAAGTTTTCTATACATCCTGTGGCTACAAAAATGTATAGGGACATGAGGTTGAGTTATTGGTGACCCTGCATGAAGCAGGAGATCGTCTGGTTTGTTGAGCGGTGCTTGACCTGCAGGAAGGTCAAGGCCGAGCATTAGCTACTTCATGGAAATGTTTTGCCGCTACCCATTCCTATGTTGAAATGGGAAGAGATCACTATGCACTTCATCACAAAGTTACCAAGGACGGCGATGGGCGTGGACGCCATATGGGTGATCGTGGATAGTCTAACAAAGAGTGTCCATTTCATTCTGATTTCTGAGAGTATATCCACGGAGAAGTTGGCAGATATTTATCTACGAGAGGTGGTGGCTAGATATGGGGTGCCAATGTCGGTAGTCTCTGACAATGATGTTCGGTTTACATCCATGTTCTAGAAGAAGTTCCACTAGGAACTAGGCACTCAACTACATTTTAGCATGGTATACCACCCCTATACTGATGGCCAGAGCGGGAGGACGATCCAAACACTGGAGGACATGCTTCGGGGATGCGTGTTGGATTTTGGAGCGAATTTGGACACATACCTCCTATTGGTAGAGTTTTCGTACAATAACATTTATCATGCCAATATCGACCGAGCTCCATTCGAGATTTTATATGGTTGTAAGTGCGAGACTCCAGTTTGTTGGGATGAGGTTGGGCAGCGGGTCATGGGGAGTACTGAGGTTGTGCTCAAGACTACTGGGCTGATTCAGTAGGTATGCGAACGGTTACAGGTCGCACAAAGCCGTAAGAAAAGTTATGATGACCGGCGGCGATCAAATCTTGAGTTCCAGGTGGGGGACTTTGTGTTACTGAAGGTGCCGCCCCGGAAGGGGATCAACAGGTTTCAGAAGAGAGGCAAGTTGGGGCCTCGATACATAGGCTTGTTCAGAATCATGGTCTGGATGAGCAAGGTGGCATATCGTTTGGATCTGCCGGAAGATCTTAGCCAGATTCAAAACATTGTCCACGTGTCTCAGCTTCGGAAGTGTGTCACTGACGAGTCTGCAGTCATTTCACTGGACGATATTCTGGAAGATGGGAGCCTGAACTACATCGAGAGGCCGATTGCCATCTTAGACAAGAAGACAAATGGTCTTCGAAACAAGGAAGTAAAGTTGGTAAAGGTGAAATGGAAGCACTGTGGGGGCTCCGATTGGACATGGGAGCCGGAGGAGGAGATGCGGGAGCATTATCCTGATCTATTTACAGCTACAGAATTTGAGGAAGAAGTCTAGTTCAAGTGGGGGAGAGTTATAACACTCCCAAATCAGGTATTACCTTGAAGCCCTTGAAGAATTTTAAATATAGAATAATAAGTCCCTTAAGTACGCTGGGTGTACTTATGAGGACACTTAGCGTACTTTGCAAATAGGATCGCGTATGGGTAGCACGTACGCTGGGTGTACGTGCCAGATCATCAAACCCTAATTTCTGTACTTGACGCCTATTTAAACATCCTTAAGCCTCTTTGACCTAACCCTAGTCAGCCTTCATAGCCTTATTTAGGCCTTCTACTCCAGATAGAGTTTGTGAGATCATTTTTGAGCTAAGAGACTGCATTTATGGCCATTTTAGTGTCCATTCAAAAAGGAGAAGATGTCACGCAAGCTTGAGGTAACATTGGGCTTCAAGAATCTACACCTAGTTCACCTTGGGGAGCTTCTGGAGGTATAAAGCTTTGATCTTTCCATCTTAATCATTAGATCTAGTTAGGTTTTCTAGTTTGATCCCTTTTCTTAGTTTTGGATCTCCTCTTGTGAGTTCAACACCTCCAGAGGCTGGAAATGTCAGATCTGAGGTCCTTTGGTCCATTCATAACATAAAACTGAAGTCTTGATGGGTGTTTTGACCTCATGTACGGACTAATATCCTTAAAAAGGTCTAAATGGGTTGTTGGGAATATATGAGGCATGCAAAGGCATAGAGTTGCCAACTTTATGCCCTAGGTCATCTAAATAAGCTTAGATCTGACTTTTAGACGTGAGAAAATCAAGAATTAAGCACTTAATGGAGAAAGTGCTAAATCTGTTCGTATGTCAGGTGTAACCTAGCATACGCAACGCGTAAGGGCCAGGGACTCAGTACGTTGTGCGTACCAGGACGGTATGCTAAGCGTACACACAAGTAGTGGGACCTGGATTTGTTTTGTGTCTCAATTAGTCATTGGACCTGATCATGTTTTGGGTTAGTGGTCCAGTTTATCTGTTTTGGACCATGGATGTTATAATTGGGCTTTATTGGGCTATGAGGCCTATTAATGACTTTGGATATGGACTTTGGGCCCAATAACTAAGGAAGACCTTTTGGGCTTTTGTTCAATTGGGGATTTGGGTTCCCCACTTAGATAGTGTTTCATCCTAACATTGAGTAATGCTATTATTGTTCAACATGGGTGTCTACGGACTGTTAGGAGAGCAACCTTTGGATTCTACTGAAAGAGGTGAGTATGCTCACCATACCACTGGGTATAAGGCACCAAGGTCGGCCCATTAATTGTTATGTGATGTGATAGTGGCTTATGGTATATGTGATATGCTTGTTATTTGTGACACTTGTATGAAAGACCTTGGGGGGGGGGGGTCCTGAGGCACCCAGGTGTAAGACCTTGGAGGGTTTCCGAGGCATCCTCGGTAAAGACCTCGGGGGGTTCACGATGCACGTGGGTTAAGAGCTCGGGGGTTCCTGATGCACCCAGAGTAAGACCTTGGAGGGTTTCCAGGTTGTCCTTGGGCTAAGACCTCGGCGGGTTCTTGAGGCACCCAGAGTAAGACCCTAGAGGATTTCCAAGGCATCCATATATGTTGTATGCATGGCTTATGTGGTATAGGTAACTTTATTGCTAATATGATATGCAATATGTGAATTATATGTGCAATATGCTCTGGGGAACTCACTAAGCATTAGCTTGTAGTTTGTGGCTTTGTTTCCGATACATTTGAGCCCAAGGGCAAGGTCAAGGCTTGATAGCGCGGTGTACACTCTCTCACCGATGTTTTATGAGGCACTATGATGTTTTTAAATAAAGTTGTAATGGATGTGGATTTGAAAACAATTGTTTTTGGATTTAATGATTTATGGAAATGTGTTTGATAAATCAAAAATGAAAAAAATTCTTTTGAAAATCTGGGTTGTTACATAACGACCCTCCACCATACATGAGAGTGATAGGTGAGAGTGGACACCCATTCAACGACTATTTTATTAGCTGTTTCCTTATACTCTCTTTATAGCACGGTTTCGTGAATGAGGTGTACTAACGATTTGGCTGACTTAGTCTTATACATATAGTAATAATTAAACTTTTAATTTTCCATATAATATATGGTCTATTTTAAAAATTTTCAAGATACTAGGCTTTATATTTGAATTTTGAAAATTAAATGAAATTTAATTTAACTTTAAAAAATGATTTAATAATTATCTATTAATAAACATTTATTTAATTTTATTAAATCATATAAGGATTATCTAATTAAATTAATCAAATAATTTAATCCTAATCTACACCCCTAATTTTCGAAAATATGGGTAGGGATTTATCCAATTTTATGATTATCTTATTCAATCAGATAAACTAACATTACCAAAAATTAGAAAACCTTATCTAAAGATACTAATTTTCCAAAATAGTAGCTTGGGGAGGAAGGTATGGATTTTAGTACTTACCTTAAAGTTTGAAATCTTGAAGGGCAAGAAACCCTTACCAAAATCGAAACTTGGCAGACATGGTAAGGGTTTCATCCCTTACCAAAATTTCAAAACTTAGGGTCCAAGAAACCATAATTTTGAAATCCTTAGCCTAAAGGGTTTGATTGCCATAAACCATAATTTGATCAATTCATCAATTATAACCATTCGATAGAAAACAAACCTAACGCTCTGATACCACTGATGGGTTTTAGACATTACAAAAGATCTATGTTTTCTTTATTGAACCTATAACTCTAAACATCAAAACAAGATCTCTTGGAAACCTAGGTTATTTCGAAATTGCTAAAGAAAAGATTACATGCCTTATTCTTGTTATTGTGAAAACCACTTTTTGATCTTTTGGAAGCAAGCACCACAAATGGTGTGCTCGATGGTTGACACCTAAGCTAGCAAGAAGGATATTTAGGATAAAGGGGGAAAGACTGAAATTCCGACCATTGCTTCAATTATTAAGTGGTCAAAATTTTCGTAGTGTAGGAGTCTTTATATAGTGCTAATAGGAAACCCTAAATAAGCTCAAACCAATAAAATAATATTATCTTATTTTTGGTAATTATCTAGCTTTTTAATTATCTTACAAGAATAATTGTAGAGCCTTTATCTCCTAAAAACTATCTACCTTCCTTGGTGGAAGGTTTTGAAGCCTTTTGCTCAAGTATTTAATAATTACACTTTAGTTTCTGTATTTTTAATTAATTTTATTAATCCTAAAATTAATTCAAATTAATTTCTGATTAATTATTAATTAGATAATATGATTTCTAATTAATATATTATTTTCATAATGAATTAATAAATAATTTATTTCAATTTATTACTCAAATAATAAATAAACTTCTTTCTTTTCAAAACCATCATATCTAATTCTTAGGTTTGAAGACAATTCAAAAGAACTATACCACTATCAATTCAAATATATATTAATTATAGTTATGAATTTAAACATCCAATCCAATCCAACACGAAGTACTTTGTTATGCAAAAATTTTTACAAGTGTTAAATGTATTATATACTTATTTACCATTAAAAAAATGGTTGACCAAACTGTTACGTCGAGATAAGTAAAAGTCGTATTTTGTTTCTTAGTGTCCACTTGAATATGTACCCATCTATATATACTTACGCGCTTTCATTCACAAGCTGCATTCATCCACAAGCTTCTTCATTAACACTCAACACTTTCACACAGACCTCATAAATGGATTGCAAAGTTGCAGTGCACTGCGCAATTGCAGCGGTCCTCGGAATAATAGCTGCAGCCACCGGTTTTGCGGGGGAAGTAACTAGGGTTAAGGTAATAAAAAAAATCAATATGCCTGTTATTTGGTAATTTAAACTAACGAAATGATTTTGACATTATAATGATATATGTGTTGTGGGAATGTACGAATGCAGGCTTGTGAAGTCATTATCAAGGATTATTCGTGTGTTTATCCAAGTAGTCCAGCGCTTGTACTTGGAATCGTATCAGCGGTGTTCACCATTATTACACGAATATACATGCGTGTTTCGTTTGATGGATCTCGCTGTTGTCGAAGAGACCCTAATTCGACCTCAATTTCAAAACTTCTTTTTGTATTGTCATGGTACGTAGGCCACATGGATGCTCTTGTTTTCTGATTGTCATCATGACTATGTTTACGCTATCGAATAAATTAACGTATTTTTGAACATCCAGGGTAGCTTCAGTTATAGCTGTGATAGTATTAGTTACAGCTACAGGACTAAATACTAGACACCACGGAGAGACTAATTCATATGGTGTAATTACATGTTATGTTGTGAAGCCAGGAATATTTGCAACAGGAGCTACATTAGCTCTGTTAAGTGCAGTTTTCGGGATTGCTGGGTATCTAATAACAATATCTTCAGCAAAACAAGCCGCTACTGGTCCTACAGGTCCCCGGTGTTGATCTCGAGAAATATCCTCAGCAATACCCTCCTCAGCAGTACCCTCCTCAGCAATACCCTCAACAACAATAGAAAAAAAAAATGGCCAATCCATCACACGATCAGTTTACACACTTTTTTGATCGTTTGCTTATATTCATGAGTAGATCGTATATATATGAAACTATGGTGCAGAGAAAGAAGATTTACAAAAGTTGTTAGTTTAAAGATATTTACTTTTTATGGGTGTGTTTGCAATTTGGAGTTTCTCGGATGTTTTATCTCAGTTACTATGTTTCAGTTCCCTAAAAGTTTGAAGTGTAATTTATAGTTCAAATTTCTGTCCTTCAGTTCTTCCAATTTATGAAAGTCATCGATTTTTAGAATATTTATTGGATCGAGAAATAATATATATGAAGCCGTACTTTCATTTTATCCCAATGTATATCTTTTTTCATACTTTTCTAAACGAAATTGCATGTACATATATTAAATTTTCTGAACGGTAGGTAATTTTTTTATGCATCTATCATAATTAATGTTAAGAGAACCAAAAATATACAAGTAAAATGATATACAATGCCACACTAAGACGAGGACGTTTCTTTCTTGAAAAACTAAAACATTCACAATCTACAAACCACAGTTGAAACAAATATGCCAACAAACAACAAAAGAGGGAGACAGAGATCTCGTTAGTCTTCGTATGATTGCCTTCAGTCCCGGTCCAGGAGGGGGACAAGTTGGGCTGTGAAATAGGCTCCAACGGACTTGGTAAGAGCATTTTCAATCAACTAAGGCAGCCGGATTCAATTCCCTATAGTTACATGCCTTTTTTACCACATAAATGATCCTTTTTTATTATTATTATTTTATTTTATTTTATTTTATTTTTATTTATTTATTTTTTTTAATATTTGTAATGCTAGTTCAAAGCTCTGAATACACCATCAGTTATCTATCGTACAGGTTCAAATATCTTGTTTTTCAATTGCTTTTTTCCCTATTTTTACTTTGCATTCTTTTATAATGTATAATAAAGTTATATCCAATAAACAATTAAAAAAATAATAATAGATAGTAGGCCTGATTTATATGTTTGATTTTATTAGAAGGGAAATAGGGATAATGACTTAAAAAGGTAACGAAGTTTCAAAAGTGTACAAAAAAGACCATTGTTATTTTTTTGTACACAAAATACCATTTTACTGGCTATTGTAGGTTATCCGGTTTCCAAATGTTCAAAAAATATCATTGTTGTTTTTTTAGTACAAAAAATACCATTAATGTTACTATTTGTATACAGAATACCAACAAAATACACATGTGTTCAACTAAAACATTGTGGTAACCAGGTACTTCAGGTAAATGGAATGAAATGAGTGTAATCAGCAAGTGCTTGTTTAATTTTTGTTGAAATTGTTGGAAAAGATCTTACTTCCACCGTATGATCAGCCGAACAAGATTACAGGTGATGCTTCGGCTGATAAATTTTTCTTCAAATCGGTGATGAGAAGAGCGTAATCAGCAAGTGCTTGTTCGGCTGTTAGATAGGCTAAAGTAGAAGCATTCTTGTATGCGTCTTTCTGGCTTCCATATGGCATCGATTCACCATAATATCGATGCTAGATCAAATCACGCAACTTTTGATAAAATTGTATTATTAAAGGTCTGCAAGTGAACAAATTAATGTAGAGTAGAGTGATTAGGGCTTTTACTTCGGGGAAGATGACCATGGCACCAAAACGAGTGGCGAGTTCCCAAACGAAGTTGGTGTTGGCAACGAACCATTCGATGACGCCTTCGTTGCCGCAATAAAGGAAGATTGGGCCCAAACGACTAGGGCGTGGGCCCACCTAGTGATCGGAGTTGATGATATAATGTTGTTGGAACTTGGGAAGATCATTGAAACTGAAATGATCAAGAGTCTGATCAAAGTATCGTGTCTCGTAAGTGTACTTCGGCTGAACAAAAAATTTTGGGTTTTGAGAAGCCGTGGGGATTTGCCAAGAAACGGAGGTGGCCGGTGAGATTCCGGCGTTGATGAAAGTAGGCAGATGATTAGGAGGAAGAATAAGAAAAAGGGTTTTGCTATAGTGGTGGAGGGTGGCGATGAACAACAGTAGTGGCCGAAGTGAAGTGGAAGGTTCTTTATAAAAAGTAGCTAAATTTCCATTACATTCAAAGAAGGAAAAATGACTTAAAAAGGTAACGAAGTTTCAAAAATGTACAAAAAAAACCATTGTTTTATTTTTTGTACACAAAATACCATTTTACCGGCTATTGTAGGTTACCCACAAGGTATTATGTGAGCACATGTGTACTTCATTGGTATTTTGTGTATAAAAAATATACTTTAATGGTATTTTGAATACTAAAAATAAAATAATGGTATTTTTTGTACATTTTTGAAACTTCATTACCTTTTTAAGTCATTATCCCTTATTAGAATACTATGTGATGATTTTGATATTTTTCAAATTATTTTATTTAGAATTTGATTGAAGTTGTTTGCATATAATTCTATATAATAACAATCTTCTAATTCTATATAATAACAATCTTCTGTAATAAATTAATAAATAATTTTATTAAGGATTCGTAAGTTCTATTACCAAGAGTCGTAAAAATACTCTTATATTTAAATATTATATAAATTTTGGGAATATAAAGGGGTCTTTTTTTGCCCTAGGCATCAAATATCTTCAGACCGACCCTGATTACCGTGGGTTCTTGTCGGCCTAACGGACTTTAGGAGGGAAGGGAAAGGTCAAGCTGGCGGAGACCCAAGCTGAGAGTAACTGCCCAAGAAGTTCAGTGAAGTTCCAACTATAGTAAAATGAAGGATCTTTCTTAAAATGAACTATACTTGGAAGAAGACAAGCGAAAGTGAGTCGAGCGAGTGCAAAGCGGGTTCCAGTGGTGGGCTGATGTTGAAGCTCATCATTGCCATCATCATCATCAATTAATTCGTATGTGATGATTTTGATAAACTTATTACAAACATATTCATTTTTTAGTCAAATAAATAAGATAAAGCTTCAGGATCACTATAACAGGTAAAATAAACTGTAAAAAATGACAATAACCTAGGATGGACACACGATAATCATCTTTCCTTAAACTTAGGAGAAATATTATGAAACATCCAAAAACATGGTCCTAAAAAGTTCATTTTAATAATAGATTAAATAGTATTCTCCAATATCATCTAAACATTTAAATAAAAACCAATGTATCAATTGTCATAAAATCAGAGTAAAACATCATAAGCGGAATCCCAATGGTGTGAGCAATGCAGTTATCCCGAGCTCTTTATTTTACAACTAGAAGTAACTAAAACATAAACTAAAAATGCTAAGCACAAACCTTAGTGAGTTCCCCTAAAATACCAAATAGCAACATAAAATAAACAAATAGTGGGCCCCGCCTATCATCGGACCCCGCCTGGCATCGGACCCCATCCGACATCGAGGCTCCCCAAGGCAAACTGCTCGGCTTGATAAATCCCTTGTCTAATAGCTCCTGTAGCTGTGTAGATAACTCCTGCATCTCAGGAGGAGGCAATCAATATCGTGCCTTAGCTATCAGAGCCGACCCGAATCAAATCAATACCAAACTCCACCAGCCTCTCTGGAGGTACTCCAGGAAAATCCTCTGAAAACACATTTGGATACTCCCGCACAATCAGCACATCGTCCATGGTCGCCTTACCCAAATCCTTGGTATCCATGACATAAGCGACAAAACTCGAACAACCCTGATGAAGATAGTGTATGACTCTCGCTGCTGGACACATAATAAGCCCATGTTGTGGTCTCTCACCCTGAATCACCAAATCTCCCCCACTTGGGGTCCGAACCTGCACTGAATGTTGGTCACAGTCGATCACCACCCCATTAAGGCTCAACCAATCCATGCCTACAATGACCTTATTCCCACGCAAAGGAATAGGAAGCAGATTGATCGGATACTGCTCACTGAACAATTGAAAGGTACAATCCCGATGAGTCCTCGCAACCCTGACCATCCTATCATCAGTAATCTCCACATCAGGAGGACGATCTAGCTCCCCTGGAGCTCCAAAAAATGTCTTGATTAGTGTAAGAGATACAAAATATCAGGTATCCGCTGAATCAAATAATTGCAAGGAAGAGATACCGTTCATGAGGAACGATCCTAAAATAAAACACATAAACATAAGCAACAATTTAATATAGACAAAGAGATAAGAAAAATACACATACCTGTCACAACATCGGGAACTACACGCGCCTCTTCAGCCGTCGGCTAGAAAGCCCTGCTCGTCTTCGCTGGCTCATCTGCCCGGCCCTGACGTTCGTCAGTATTCCTTAATATCACAGGAGCGGGTGTTGACACCGATCCCGCCGCAGCCAAACTCGAACAATAAGCCTTCTTGTGGACCCTCTGATTACATTGAAAGCAAATCAGATCAGATATCAGAGTGATGGGAGTGGTAGTAGTAAAATCTCTGCTGATATGACCAGTCCGGCCACACTTGAAGCAACCAGATACTACCCCTCTGCACGTCCTCTTGTGCATCTTACTACACTTGCCACATCAGCTATGACCATGCTGGCCTCTTGGTTTAGAATTAGATACCTTGGGCGTCTTGCCCAAGCCCTCAACACTCGTTGCAGAATCTGGCTTCCTCTTCCTGTCCATCTCTAAGTCAATCACCCTCTCCCTAGACCTCGTTATCATGTCTTCCAACATCTTGCAGCTGGATTGGCTAACAAATGGTCGAATATCACTTCTCAGCATCTCATGGTTCCGGGCCTTCTTCATATCCTTGTCTGACACATACTACAGAACTAGAAGTGCCCTCTGCCTGAACATTGCGGTGATGTCAGTCACCGTCTCAATAGTCCAATAAAGATCCTAAAACTCTCACACCAGCTACTACACCTTAATCACTGGTGCAAACTCGACTCGAAACCTGGTCGAGAAATCACTTCAGGTCATCAAATCATTAGCATCATCTCCTATAACATGCACTACCTCCTCCCACCAATCACGTGCCCTTCTCTTCAGGAGGCGGGAAGCTAGTCTGACCTTATCCCCCTTAGGCCTGCTGTTGGTACAAAAGGCGATGGCAACATCTACCAACCACTTGCTACTCGCATTGGGGTCCCTGGCCCCATGGTACTCTGGCGCTCCACACGCCCAAAACTCAGTGAAGGTTAGAGAACGTGCCCCGATCAAAGCCACAATCTTAGTGAGAAAAGCGCTAAATCTCTCATCAAGAATCTCCAAAATACCCTATTTGGCCGTGCCAAAGATTACAAGAGTCTGATCAAGGATACTACACGTAATCTCAGATGAGATGAACTCCCTCTTCTGTTCATATAGCTGCCCGACTCCATAACCTAAGCTTGAACCCTCCCCGACACCGGAACTACCCACCGGCCTGCCTCGCAATACCACCATACTGAAAATAGACCATAAA